GGCTCTCACACTGTGAGAGCAGCACCCCATTTTTCCCTGGTGACCACCTTTCTCGAGGATGAAGCCTTTCCCTGGTCTCCTTTGCCCCCGAGCCGAATGCAGCCCTCAGTCTAATAGCGACAGCTGCCTCTAGCAGGCAGAGAGCTCTCCCTGTTCCTGGGGAGCTTCCCAGGGTGCTGCTCCCCAGAAGCGCATGGACAGCTCAGCACAAAAGCAGCAGTGGGGCCAGGCTGCCCCCCTACACCCACGTACAGCCTATGTGGGAGGAGGAGGAYGCTCAGGAAATGCGAGGGCCCACGTCGGGTGGCTTTGACATGATTACTGCTTCACTCGAAAGCTGTCACATCAGAAATGACAGGGTAGCTGACTGCTGAACGGACAGGAGAAAAATGCAGTGGCTGCGTTTTACTCCCGAGGTATTGCAATTAAGACCAAAAGAGAAGAGTGAGGAGATCTGTCTTGCACTGATGGATCCCTGAAAGAAAATAGCAGTAGATGAAGCAGGAGAGGGAGCAAATTAGGTGAAGCTGCAGCTTCCACCTGACAGTCCATTCAGGGATTGATTGTGATTAGCTGTGCACCTGAGGTAAAGAGATTAGGGGCAGGTATCGATCAGTTCCATGACCCCAGCAAAACCATTTCTGTCTGTGCTTTAACTCCKCTATGAAACAAAGACCGCAATGCTGCCCTTCCCTCTCACCCTGCTTTTCAGCAATGGGCAGGATTCGCAGAGCTCTCTAGTCCCCACAGGAGCCCTGGGAATTCCTTAGAAACTGCCCTTTGCAGGGCCTACGGGAAGCGGAGGCGGCAGCCAGCAGCCCGCCTCACGCCCCAGGGAGATCTGGTAGTTACTGTAAAGGCGCTGCGAAACGAGCGGGCAGGTAACAGCACAGGCACCTCCACTGCTCTGCGAGCAGGCCCCAGCCCCACTGAAGGCCCCGGGAAAAACTTAAGCCACAAWCTTTGTGATACAGCACAAGCAAAGGGCCACACTAGTGACAGCAAGGGGAGCGCAGCTGAACGTCTCATCACAAGGGTTCACCTATATCCAAGATGCAAATTTAACCACAGACCTTTAAACTACTGATAGGAGTTTTCCATCTTTAAGGATAATGTGACTATTTAGCAATAACACCTCCAATATCATGTAATTTTTATTCTATAGCCATTACTTTAAAAAGTCCTCATGGGCAATAAGGAATACTCTTTTTGTAATCTTACAGGAAGGAAAATTTCTTAAGAAATTTCTGCTTGTGACATGTCATGCRGTGGCTGCTATCTAAAGCCTCAGAGCGCCCAGAAGGGGAAGGTATGGGGACAGGGAGGGAGGGAACAATCCTCCCCTGCGGCTACTCCGCCCAGTGGGAGCAGTGATAGAGCCAGATGACTGATTTTGAMCTAATGATGAAGGCTGTTTTTTAAAAAAAAAATGTAAAATAAGGGTTGCTCCTGCTCCCCATTTTACGTTTTTAGTCGATACCTGGAAGGCTACCACCCACGTTGTCGTGCTACGACCTGCGTGCTCTGTAGCCAGGTCTCTGGCTCCCGGGGTGCTTTTTGAGAGCCATTAACATTTTTTTTCCTCCACCTCAGAACCCCTGAACCGCCGCATCCTGACTCTCCCGGAGGTTTGCTCTTTCACCTGGTGCTGTCGCAGCCAGAGACCCTTCCCGTGCAATGAGCTCCTTGCTGCTCCGGCCGCCCGGCATCACGGGACGCGGCTCACGGCGGCGGCCGCGCTGCTCGGGGCGAGTTAGCAGCAGTCCGTTTGCCTGGTGCGGGCGGGCAGCGCTGGCCCAGGAGCTCAGCAGCCCCTGCTCACACCTGCACGGGGGGCTCTGCCTGCGCCGCCTTCCTGCGGAGGGAACGGCAAGGCCCAACCGTTACAAAGGAATCACAGCATTTCTGTCGTCCCGTGCTAACCTCTCTGAATCGTAGCTCAATCTTCTTAGCTTGCCTTCCTCTGGRGTTGGGATACATTAGCATGAAGATTTCTCCATAACAGCAGTGAGGGATTAGCTCACATATAGACATATACAATAGTACCACTATTGTGCCTCCTAGTGCAAAGCGCTCCCGTGACATGAGTTAAACGCTCTTAGCGGGAAGCCCAGGCATAGGTTACATGGCAATGAGTTATCCTTATCCTATTGTAGTGCCTGCAGGACGCAGATTCCTGCTGCTCAGAGCCCGTCGGATCCCGCGTGTGCTACACRGCAAACTTGCTCTGGAACAGGCAAGTGACAACGTGTCCCCTCATCAGCCACCACCTGAAAGCCCAAAGGCAGCAGCACATGGTGGGGGGCATCTCATCCTTTCAGCAGGAATTGTGCCTTTAGGACACCTGGACTCATGCAAATGCAGCTGAATTGCTTTAACGGACAAAAATCCAAGAGGACAGAGGTGGGACAAGCAACCACCTTAAGGACTGATCTGGCAAAGGGGAGACAATAAGGACAAACGTGGTGGTTTTCCTGACAAACTCAGCAAGTCAGTTCTGAACCATTAAAAATTTCAGCCCAACAAAACAACTTGAACTATGTTATCAACATTGACTTCATGGACCAAAATAAATCTAATCTAGTATATTCTATCTTCACCTATACCTTTTTTTCCAGGAAAAGGAAGATTTGGCCCTCAGAGTGGGATTTCCACGATGCCTTCAGCTGGTTTCACAGTGCCTGTTCCCAAAACASAGAGACAACCTCATTTTACAAGCCAAACATTTCTAGGAATCATTGTGCGTCCGAGGGATCTCCCAAGGTGGGTAAGTTGCTGATAGGGTGCAGTGCTCTTCTCTTACCTTCTCTGCTACAACCATGTTTGCAGGGCCCAAAAGGGATGTCCAGATTAATCACTTCTAATGGGTAATCCATCTTCATCACTAAATCACGGAATGGTTGAGGTTGGAACATACACATGTTCAATACCCTGGAGATTTACCCACCTTAAGGCACGATGTGACTAAAAGGCTGACTGCAAGACAACAGTGAGGAGGCCTCCTGTGAGCTTGCTCTCACAAGTACCTTAGGAAATCTAGGAAAACCCTAAGAAATAAGCTAAGTGAGACTTCCCAGGAAAAAGACAACAAAGGATCAACAATGTCTCTAAATGGGTATAATATTTAAAAAAGAATTACCCAAAGAGCAAAACTTCTGTTTTGGTACTTGCAGTTATGACAATCAGATGAAGCAAAGTGTTTGGTCTCCACTTCCCACACTCAGCCCATTACTTCACTTCTAATTGCAAATTCAAAAGAATAAAATCTTGCTTCCAAAAATAAATCAGAAAGMTACGTAACATGCTCATAAATTAGCACTGTAGAAAAAAAAAGTACACTGTGTGCTGAACATGCTCCCTTTCCATGTCCTTGGCATTGCTGAAGAGCTGCAGAAAAAAAAAAAAAAACCCACACTGCCAGACAAGGCTGTCTGCACTGCATGGTGCAAGCTCTCCAGAAGAGCGCTGGCTTGCCAGCTTTGCCAGCCTCGCAGCCTCTGTCCAGGGCTGCAGCTGTTGCAAATGCACCACCAGGGACACAGCAGCTCCGTGCAATGGCTGGCACCTCCGAGGGGGAAAGCCAGAGGAACAGAGGAATTCAGAGAGTTCAGAGCACACTGCAGAACTAACAGAAGTCAGGCTGTTTGTTTGCATTTTTCCTCCCTGTGTCTGTCATGATTAATAAGTTTCATGTCCCATGAGTAATATCATGGTAATTAAATATTAGAAGCCCCAGGGAAACATGACRAGATTTTGTTGTCAAGCAGTTTGAAGGTAAGTGACAAGTGCCAACTTGTTCCCACTCCAATCACCCACAAACACTGTAGGACCTTCTTGTGATGATCCCAAGCACAAATACTAATATGCCATCCGAGTTGAGTAAATTCAACAGGTGATACCGTAACAGCTGGAAAATAGCACTAGAAAGGGAGGTAAATAATACAGAACTTAAGAAGCTTCTTCAAAGAACTAAGAGACATTTTGTAACTAAACRGTTTTATTGACTTTTTTTCCAAAATAAAAAAACACAAAATAAACACCAAGATTAAAGGCCATAGACAGCATTAACCAAATGAGCCAGCCACTTGGTTATAGTAGCTGATAACTAGTACAACTTATATTATTGCATATACCTCCGTTTCATTTATACATCCTTTACAGTTTGGCAAGATTACAATCATACAGTAGCTTTGGTTGTGTAAAACCTAGTAGCAATACTTATTTAAAATGCAACTGTTCAACATTGTATGATTACAAATACTAATTCCATCTTAGGYGTGATGTGCCTTCTCCCATTCTTTCTCCCCCTCCCCAGGCACCACTGACCAGGACTGAAGGAGAGTATTTGCAATCATAGTTTATAGCCCTTCTTGATCACGGGGTGCCGATGAGGCGTGGGGASGCAGGAGCCCGGCCCTTGCTCCCCTTGGGGGCAGCGCTTCCCTTTGCGCGCCAGCCAGGCACCTTCTGCCCCTCCGCGGTAGCACCCGCCCTGAGCGAGCCCTGCGCTGCGCTCGCCTCCAGGAGCCGCGCGGGGCTTTCGGCCGGAGCCTCCCGCCGGCCTGCGCCCGACCACGGTGCTGCCCGTGCCCTGGGGCCCGGCAGAGCCGCGCACACACACACACACACACACACACACACACACACACACACACCCCCCAGCAACAACCCGCACGGCTTTTCGCTCCCGCATGCTGGGCTGCCTGCACGAGGCAGCGTTAGCCCTACTGCACAACCCTACGTGGGTTAAAGAGTTGTGCCTGAGACACTGTACAGGATTGCATGGGTAGGCTCTATAGCATATTTATTTCCTTTYTGGTCTTTTAAACACTCTCTCATCCTTACCTACTCTAGTGTAACACTGCAACGTTTGAGTAACGGTTGATAAAAACACACAGGATATTGGAAAACACTGGAGGCTTTTCTTTCCCTTGCACCACTTTTGCAGAATTGTTCCTTCCCCTCACGGTTTGCCCCCAACTGGGAATATCTGCTTCCAGAGGGAATGATACTCTACTTAAACAGCATCTAACACTTTGACTTCTATCTAGGAGAAGCTACAAAACAAGCTGGATCAAACTGAAATGACCTAGCATGTGAAGATCCTTCTCCATTTACAGAAAGCCACAACAGAAAATAGCTCCTACTTGTTCTAGCAGCCCTTTCAACTCGCTTCCATGAAGCAAAAGGAATTCTGCGTGAGGAATGGCTGCACAGGCGGGATCCCAGCGGAACTAGGTGACTGCCATGCAGTAAGTCAAATACAGGCAGTGTAACTGCTTTTTATATTCAGGTCCACACCTGTGTAARTATATAAATTAATAAGCCCTTCTAAATAATTTTAGAATTATCCTCTGTAATCTAGACATTTAAAACCTCTGAATACCTAGAATCACTAGATTTCACATGGCCCACAGAGTCGTAAGTATTTGCACCTACATTGCAAATACTAGAAATACATTTGCCTGCAGTTGAACAAGTAATTATACTGCCTATTATTCAGATGAACAAAGATCAAGCACTCTATGTCTTGCATTTATTGGATCTTATTATAACCCCTTACTTTGAAAAGGGGAAGTAACCATCTAATTATATTATGAGTGCACAGTACCTAGTTATAAAAAACCCTTATACTAGGCAGCAGATTCTTTCCTAAGATGAGTTTTTATGGGTTTTTATTCTAAAGGTGGTCTCTTATGACTGAAGGTTCTCTATTTCACTGTACTCACATAGGAAAAATAGTTAAAATCTAATTACAAAGCTGCTACATGGTTATTTTGTGGTCTGTAAAATAAAACAAAATCCAGAATTGTATTTAAACAAAATACCCCAGACAGTATAAAAATATTTCCCCATTGGAGTTTGAAACATTAATGCTGGATTGTTTTCTGTATAAAAAGAAATGTAATAATGGTWGACATTTATCTGCTTACTAGCCAAAAATATACATATGACTTCAAGGAGCTGTTCCAGGCTCACTTTAAGTGAGCTTGTGCTTTTGACCATAGCAATAATAAATGCACACACGTGGAACAAAATTAGTGCCTGAAAACCTGAACTACATCTTATTTCTAACAATAAGACTAATTTCTGAGGCTGGCTACAGATTTCCACCTGTTGGCTGCGCTCAGGCGACTACAGCAGAGGAGTTCCAGAAGCACCACTTGCGCTTTGAATGGTGTTTGTTTAGTGCAACATCTTCCTTTTCTCTCTCCTTCTTAACTCGCTGGTAGTGATCTTCCTCCTTTAGGTACCACACTGGTGGCCAGCGATGCCTCTCAAAGTATTCCTGATTATCTGTTAGAAAGAAATAAGCAGAAGCCTCCAAGCAAACCAGTAAGCTACAGAAGTCCAGGAACCACCTTGACTGGCCACAGGGAGCTTTGCCAGGTCTTYCTCCCCTCTAACCGTTTGCCCTGTCCTTACGTCAGTTGATTTCTCAGGGCTTCCTCCAGGTTCCTGCTCTGCTTTATTTTACTTCAGCAGTAGAAAGGCTATGAGAACAGCAGTCCCCAAGAAGCCTCAGCCCACCACACAAGGACACAAAGAGCAGAGCCTGAAAACAGCTCTGTTGCTTTCATTATAGCTGAAACAGGAGGTGAACAAAAGGCTTGCCYAGGCTAATGACTTGGGCTCTCCCCGCTCCACAGATTGGGAGGAGGCTACCCAGGAGAGGAGGAGCTACTGTGTAGTTGCACAGCTACCTGAGCTCACCTAGATGTTCATGCTTGGTGAACAGGGTGGGCAGAAATAAGGGGAAAAAGTAAAGAAAACTGCAGAAAAAAAAGTTGTCGGTACCTGAAGATTTAGCTTTGATTTCCTTGCGGAATTTGGAGCAAACGCTGTTGTAATTGGTGCAGATGTAGTGCAAGCACCACGCTGCCAGCTGGTTAGCATTGTGAAACTGCAAAGAAAAACAAGCAGCTTATTCTATTTCCCGAAATACCGTTCACTTTGCAGCCCCCGTTAACAACTAAAGCAGCCCCCAGGGGTTCTACGTGGCAGCCTTCTCCTGAAAGCCCACACGGGAGCTTCTGGGGCTCRGAGGTGGCCTCTGGGTGCCCTAGACCACGTTTGTCTCCTCCTGGCACAATTCTGTCCGAGCACCCAGTAGCCCCAAAGGCTCTGACCAGGTTCCTGGTGTGCACGATGCCYGGCACCCTGCACTCCGTCACACACAAGCCCTGAATTTTCCGATAAGTTTGTAGCACTTAAATGCCCTCTCAGTTACTACAAGCCCTCCTGTGAAGCACCTCTCTAGGCAACAGGCTCACTGACAGAATTTAACTACTGCTGAAAGCCCAGTACAAAATGAGCTGCAAGTTTCTGATGGCCCTAAGGAAGGAGAGCTCTCTGTACAGTCAGGTTTGTAGAGCACATGTATCTATTCAGCATTCAGGCTGTCTGCTGGGATCTTCTCAGGTTATAAACACATCATTCTGTAGTTGGTCCAGAGCACAGAGGATATCCTAACAGAACTTAAACGTGTTGCTTCTGTCTCCAGCCAAAGAAAAAACACTTTACAAATTCCAAATTAAGTAAAACGCGCTGCCTTTTCTTGGAAGAGGACGAGCTCTGGTTTTGTAACAGCATTATAGGTATTGCACAGGGATGCACGTGAATGCAGCTGGAGGAAATCTTGCATGGTGGCCATCTTGTGCTGTATGTCAGTGTTGCTTCATCTCTAATTGAGACAAGCTGGAGCCAGACTCTTCATTAGTGTGAAATCAAGAATAATTCAATTTATAAAATATTTTATCTTGTTCTACCGTACTTGGGAGAGTGCTGAAGCACTTTTTTTTTTTTTAGGGAGGTGGGAGGGAGGAGTAACAAGTTGAACTGTGAGCTCCTTTTCATGGTTTCTGGGATTCAAGCATATGTTTGAGATAATGTGCTTGACCGTAAACTAGGAGGATTTGCACTCACTATTAAAAGACAGTCTCTAAAGTCTAAGAAGATTGATAGATATATAGAGCCCTTGAAATACAAAACCATTAAGGCATTGGAAAAAAATGAATGCAGATGACTAGAATATGTTTAAGCAGTGCACACTGACCTGGGCCACCTCCAAGTAGGATAACACTTCTCCATCTATTGCAGTGCCACTCATGGAGGCCTTTGTTAGCTCCTGTACTGCGTGCTGCTCTGTTAGGAGACAACCAGTCACTCACCCAGGACAGTCACGTGCCAAGGTCAGATCACCCACCAGTATTAAGGAGCAGTGCCTTTAATGAACAGGGCACCACGGAAGCCACGGCCTCCCTCCCTCCCATGCAGATTCACCCCRACAGTTCAAGCAACTTCAGCCTGGGGCAAGCAGAGGAAGGCAAATTCCGGCCTTCTCCGTTGCCTAAAGACCCTCCATCCTGGCACAAACTGCTTACTCTGACGGAGCTGGAACTGCTGGGATGGGCTGGACAATTTATACCCAATTCCTGTGTGCATCTCAGAAAGCAAGCCTGCAATTAATGCCCACTTACAGAAGGGCAAAGTACTCACACGAGAATTTGGAGGTGTGAACTGATTTAATTTTCAAACTGAGTAGTATCCAGTCACTTTTGTCTAAATAAGTGCTAAAAAAGCTATTCTGAGATGAGGGTTGAATTTCGATGTGCTGAGCTGGTTTATCCCAAGACTAAGGCAAGAGAAAGGTAAGTAATATTTTTTCAAGTGAAAATATCAACTTGTATTACAACTGCCTTGCAGAAGGAAAACACTTATTTATCTTGTAAAATAAGTTTGTTKTTAAAAAGAAAAAACAACCCCTCCCTGTCCCGTGCTCCAAGACCATTAGGATATGTTTGAGCCATTGCAGCAGACATGCATTGGAAAGGCCACAAACCCTTACCTGCTAGTGCAACCAGGTGAGGAAGGCAAAACCTATTTGCCAATGCAATTAACTCAAGTGTGTCCAGGTCCTGACTGGAGGACAGTTGTTTGGTATACAGGTAATCCAAAACTGCTTGCATGGAACTCGTGTTTATGTTGGGCAGAGCTACCTGGGAAAGACATTAAAAAGAAAAATCTGTAGTAATTGAGCATTTCTCATGCAGAGATTATGTTTCACTTCTGCCACTTATTYACCATTTTAGAAGAAACAACATTTTTTAATAAATAAGTAAACAAATTAAATATAATAAAGAATCCCAATACAATTCAAGAAGGTGCCACTAGGGAAGCACACTGCCAGAGCCAGGTTCCCTGCTCAAACAGGCAGCTCTCCCAGCTGACTGGATATATGTACATATATACACACAAATACACATACACACAAATTAATCTGGCTGCCTGGGAGCAGTTAGCTGGTATTGCCAGCCAGAAGGGGGCTCGCTGTGGTACCCCTGTGGTTGGGAGTTATCTTTGGGAGCCTGTGAAGTTTTTTTTTAGTAGCTTTTGCCTTAATAATTGGAATTCAAACCCAGATCTTGTAGCGCTAAGACACGAACCTCTAATACCCATCAGACACTGTGGGAAACAGCTTAGTTCTCCAAGTAAGTGGAGCTAGTTGTAAAATTAATTATTAATATATTTTTGTTAATGCAGAGAATAAATATTCAGTAAATAAATTTTTAAAATGCTGTGCCCCACAAAGTAACAGTAGTAAGTAAAGAGTTGGTCAGTCTAAGGAAATACAATAAATTTATTTCTACCTGTACTTTTAAACTTCCAGATTCATTACTGAATGCTTTAAACTCTAGAAAATGAAAGTAAGATATTTCAACCTGCAAAGATGAGGTAAGTTTATGAAGTTTATCATCAAAAAAAAAAGGCTGTAAGAAAACAAATGTATATTCTTCATTGCCAAGTGTTGCTTACTACAATCAAATTATGTATTTTTAACRAACCACTTGCTAAACATGCCTCTGGGGAAGGAATTATGTTTAAAGCTGGATAAAAGGAGACAAGAAACGTAAGCAGAAAGTCGAAAAGAATCTTCCAGAATTTAAAAAAGAAAAACAAATAAAAAGTTCTTAAATTTAGTAAGACCCATTACTGCTAAAAGGGACAAGGAAATCAAAGCAGAAGAGCCAACTCTGGCTATGGTAAGATACAGGGGAAAAAACAAATACCAGCAGAATGCTGGGGCTTGAAGGAAAGACTGTAAAGCTGCCGATGGCTCCTGCTGCAAACTCTCAAGCACCGAGATCTTCACGCTTTGCCTCCTGCCTGTCCTATGCGAGGGGACAGGCTGATGCACAGCAGCCCCTGTGCTYGTCTCTACTTGGGTACTGGCAAGCCAACTCCATCTGCTAGTTTAAGACTTCATGTTCTTTAACTTTTTTCCCCTCTCTTTAAAGCTCCCTGTCCCAAGTGTTCTCACTGTAATAGTTCTCATCATACAACATATTTTCACAGATCTTTAAAATGAGTTTAATGAAATTTACAGCTTCAAGATTACCTTTATATATTTTTCTTTTTTAGAATTTTATTTTTTGAAATCCTGTTCTGATACTGAATCAAGCCAACTCATGCCTTGCAGAAAACAAGCTATCTTCCTAGCCATCCTAAACATTAGGCCTTCAAAAGAAGAACATCCCATCTCTTCAAGGAAAGGGAAAAAAAAATATTCCAGGGTTTACTGTAAATCTCCAAATAGCTCCAGAATGATGCTTCTATCTCCCCAAATCCATCAGACATTATGAGCAAAACAGATGAAAACAAATACCTCACTGGTCGAGCTTTCAATAAATGATCCTCCAAACATCGCGGACATCCATTCACAGCTGCAGATGAGCAGCGGCTTGTGGGCATTTATGGTTCCATCATCCAATTTAAAGGTCACGTCTGCCACGGAAACAAAGAAACAAGCATGGCTGCAAATCCGGGTATAAAGAGCATCTGTGGCTCAAGAACGTACCTTCTGCTTGCACCTTCTTAAGCAATTACTTCTTTCCTCCCTCCCCCATCCACAGATAACTCTAGGCTTTTATATTGGTTTATAAAAACAAAGAGTCCCCCTGGAAATGGAGATACCGGATGTTCCACACTTCGGCAAATTAGGTCACTTCTTTAGAAGTTTGTATAGGTTTTGAGAAATTCAACTCCAGACTCCTAGCTTGAAAACTGGCCCCCGTAATGCTGAAAATTTGGGTTTCTCTCTCCTCCGAGAACAACATCAGCTGTCACAGTTCTTCAAGCTTGTGAAGAGGCAGTAACATGAATAAAAGGATAATTAGGACTTTTTTTCAGGAAAAGCGTATATTTACTCACCCGAAAACGTCCCTTTACAAAGGCACTCTTTTATCCGATTAGCTTTCCTGACATGAAATGCTTTAGTAATCTCTTGATTCATGAAGGCTTCTTTATTCATAATATTCTCCACCATCATTCGCAAATCAAATACTTCCAAGATTTCAGCAAGCTGAGCTAATCTTGTGAGGTCTTTTTCATTCTCATCCAGTTGCCCCGTGTATAAAAACTGCAGGACGGTTTTAAAAGGTCCAGCCTGCACAGATGAGTCCATTCTTACCACAGTTACAAGACACGTCCTATTTGAAACGGGGTTCACTTGCATTTCCTTGTGCACACTGACGAACCCTTTGCCCCAGGACGAAAGGGACCTTGCTGCACAACTGGCTTCCCCAGCTTCAGGGTCCAGGGTGTTTACAGAGTCCCCACTTTCTGGAGCTCCAAGCTGGACATCAGTGGATTTTAAGGATCTCTCATTACTATCATCATTTGTCTCATGATGACAGGTCGGAGCATCCCTGTCTGTACTTGMTTTGTTACATTTCGTTTCATCCAAGCTTGGACTTTCCTCACATTCCATTAAAAAAAGGTCGTAAAACTTGGAGGAGGAGGTAGCTAGGTAAATCTTGTGAGCAAAAATACAGTTCTGCTCCTGGAGAACAAACATGACATCTGCACACAGTGGGTTATCCAGTAAATATCCAGCCTCGTTCATGCTCGGTACCGGACACTCTGGAATTTTGATAACGGGAGGAGGTGCTTTCGGAGGTAGGAATGGAGCTTGAAGTAGAGGTTTTTGGACCTTCTTCAAATGCGATTTCCAGAACTGCAGGTGTCTTCTGGAGATCAGGGCAGCTCTAATTGCATTGTCAAACACATCTTTAATTCCAAACTGGTCAAAGACGCTGCTTTCATAATATGGTATCCCAAGCTCCTTGGCAACCTCTCTGCCTCTTTCTGGTGGCAAAATATCTCCTCTTTTAATAGGCCTACAGGTAAATAAAAAAAGACCCTTACACACAACAGTCATCACAAAGCAATCCAAAACCCACAGAATTCAGAATTACAGCACCAATGCCTGAGATAAATTTCAAATGAATAGAAAATATGAAATTAAGCTCATAAAACCCTTTGCATATCTAAAAGCACTATATCCCAGGGTCTTAGAATAGCAAATAATTGTTAAGCACGATGGTGTTTTATCATGTAACTATACAGACAGAATTTCCACAAAATATTAAATGTTAAACTGACAGTAAGCAAAGCTGACAGGATGCTTGAGAGCTGTCATCAATAAAGAATCTCCTAAAATTCCTTTTCACCAAGACACTGTATCAGTATCTTGGTTTGTACCCACCTTGTAAACCCAAGCGGGCATGCTCATCCCACAGAAACGCCACAAACAGAGCTAAATAYGAAATGAGAAGTATTTCTTAGCCTATGCCTTCTAAAGAAAACAAGAGCAGCCCCTGAGGAAAACKGCATCGAACACTTGGGGACGGGTCCGTCTTGGCTGCAGACACCCTACGTGGCACCTGCGAAGGTGCAGGGCGGCTCTCGCGTGGGACACGGGGCAAAAGGCTGGACACGAACCCCGGGCATGGGGTTTGTCCAGCTCGCGGGCGGAAGCCTCTCTCGCCGGAGGACACGAGCCCACCGGGGCRCCCGGAGAGCCCGCGGAGCCAGGCGCAATGTGGAGGGGCATGGTGCTCGTGTTCCAACTGGGAAAAGCACATTTGCAAATCAATTCTATATTAATAGCTGTGTCCAAGCATCCAATCAACCTCAGACCTCCAGTGTACAAGGACATTCTTTAAAACATACACTAAGAAACTGCATTTATTAAAGAACTAACCACAAATGAACAAAATGGAAGAAAGCACAAACTTACTGTCTTGGAAAAAAAAACAGACACACATGACAGTCTGATTTCTCTTTGAAAAGCGCAGTACATGATTAACAAGGCGAGAGGTTTCAGTTTTTTGTTTAAACCTTACCTTGCCAAAGGCCGCCTGGCTCTGTTAACAGCTTCAAGATCAGCGTAACGGAGATCGAGTTGGCAGCCCACCAGGATGACCGGTGTGCGAGGACAGAAGTGCTTGATTTCCTGATACCACATCGTCTTCACATGATTCAGGGAATTGGGATTAGCGATTGAAAAGCACAGAACAACTACGTCAGACCTAGAAAGGTAACACGAAAACAAAAGTTAGAAACCAACTGCCTTGCTTTTCACTGCAGCTTCACCTGTTTTCATCAGCGCAACTTGAAACCACTGGATGCTTTGAAAAACGCACCCAAATCCCCATGTCAGACTCCAAGTTAYTCGTGCAAAGGTTGGAGAGAAGCGACACGTTTCACCATGCATGAAAGCATGGGAGCAGACAGCCACATACCAGGGAGCACCACCCAAGGAGGATCTCTATGYCTACAGACAGATCCTAGGAAAAGAGCTGGGCTTTGCCATTCTCCACTTTTCYTTCAGTTATCCAGAGGCTGTTACTCGTCCCCAAATAACACTAACTGGACCCCTAAATTCCAGCTCAAGGGTCACTGGCAATGAGTACTAGAACAGGCTATACACACAGAGCTTAGGCAGACCCAAACCCTCCTGAACCTGTAATGGAAGAAACCTCCAGTGCCCCCTTGTAGGTCCTACGGCAGTCCCCACTCACTGAACCAGCAAAGTCCTGCAGAACTTAGGGCAACTTTGACGATACAAGCCCAAACACCCATCCCAACGCAAGCACGCGCGGCGTCCGACAGCACTGGAGGCTTTTACAGCTTTAGGTCTTCAGCACAGCGCTGCCTCGCAAAGCTGGAGTGTGGCAATTAAAGCTGGCACTACAGCTACCAAACCACCACCCAAGTCTATCCAAGCTGCTGCCCTAGGGCACAGAAGTGCTTCAGCATTTGCTGCAGGGCTTGCTAAGTTGGGCCATATTCACTGTTTATAGGGTAGGATGGAATATTAACAGAGGAGTTCTCAAGCTCTTGGGTCCTGCCAATAAGTGCTGCAAGTAAAATAACCTCAATAATGCAACTCTGTCATGGGAGAAGAAAAAGAAAAGTGGAACTGAAACTTAATAAAACTTGAGGGAGTTTTGGGGGAAGCTCTTCCTGTCAGCAGGATAAGCTCAGCACTACCACGTCCACCTCACTTCAACTTAGCACAAATGTACTGTGCAGGGAATAGAGCAAGAGCAATGACTCTTAACATTCGCCTTTTAAATAATGAAATACCTCCTCTGCACTGCTGCTTTCTGCGCTTCAGCAAGGACACAGATCTAGCTAAGCAAGGCTGTTTCTAAAGATAGCTGCGTGCAATACAGGTACTGCTGTGAGCCCCAATTTAATGCAAGAGCAATGCTCCTGCTCCAAGTTTGCAGCTTATATAAACAGCAACACATCCATCACATTTAGAGACAAAGCATTTGAGATCAGGGAAAGTCAGCTAAACGCACTGCTCCTACCCGCACCCGGGGCAGGCGTTCTCCAGATCCAAACTTGCTCAAGGTCACGGGAGAGCAAARTCGAGACCCCAGCAACATCTGCTTAGCTCCCAGAAAGAAGAAATCGAAGTCAGAGGCCCACACGCTCCAATCAGGAGAACTGTTCATTAATTCAAGATCCTCCAAATGGCCTTAAAGGCCAATGTGGGCTGTGTGGCCAGTCCTAACTCTACCTAAGCATCTCAGAGACACTGTCCCATGTCCTTCAGAAACTAGTACTTAAGCCTGAGAAACAACTGCAGCCACGAGCCTCCAAGCCGCCTGGCTCCCCAAGCCAGGAGACATCACTTCTCTCAGAAACACAGAGAGAAATAGAGCTCCAGCGGGAGCGCGCAGAACAGAACTAAGAGGAATGAAACAGGTAACTTGTACATTACTTAGCCCCAATTAAAGCACAGACTCCCCTAGTGAATATCARTACTGGACAAGGAGAAATAGATTCTCTTCTCCCACAAAGAGGGGACTGGGCAATCGCTCGGTAGCTGCAGAGCTCACACCCGGAACCAGCACCAGAGCGAGGTCTGTCAGCTCCCAAAGCCACCCACCTTCCCGTAACATATTGGGCTTTCTTTCAAGTCCTAGGCATGATTTGCACTGCCAGTACAGACTGCACACAGTAAAACCTAAGATTAGCTGTCCACAGAGGAACATAGGTGTTTGGGAAGAACAGTACTTTGGGAATTTAAATATAAACATTTCCTTTTAATGTCAAAGGCACWTTTACAACTTCCCCAATCCCCAAACACAAAGTCTGTTTGACTTTTATTCTTAAAAGCCAGAACCTGTTAGATTAAAATAATGCATTAATATCTCCCAAGCATAAAAAAAGAAAATCAATGTTATTTTTACATTTCCAAGAGAGATAAAAGGAGAGGATTTTTTTTAAAACTCTAATTTGTTGCCATTTTATGTGTCTTAGTTACTTGGACAATGAGAAAGGATGAATCAACTTCTGCTTTCTTCTCTCCCTCTGCAGCAGCATTTTAACAAAAACAAGCTGCTTGTCCTGAAAACACATTTCATAACCATTTCAGAGTAAAATTCCRAAATGATTCACGGAAGCATTTTTGTAGACATGAGCACTGAAGGCTGCTTACAACTTCTCCCTCATTTTCTTCCTAGAGGAGCATTCAGTTAAGCTGGGCAACAAGTAGGACATCCTGTCCAACACCTCTGTTAAACCCTAGCAGTAGTCTATGGTTACACCTCCTACACATACAGATACTTGAGACTGAAATACCATGTGGAACAGAGGCAAGAATGAGCAAATACTCAGCAAAAAAATGAGCAGTATCTTGGATATTCAAGATATTGTCTTATAGATTCAGTAGTACGTGTGGGGAATGTATTTGTGGTTTATTCTTACTTCTGCTTTTTGTRTTTTTCATTACCAGAACAAATGATGAATCATCCACTCTACACTTTGAGCATCTGAACACACCTAAGTATCGCCAAAACTCGTAATTTCTGACTTTATGCATGAAAGCATTTCAAATGCTCTCTGTGGAGTTGCAGAAATAGCTTTTAACGCATGCATTAATGCAAACATCCATGCCTGAAATCAGCCCAGCCTCAATACGGTTACGGATTACCTATAGGAGGCTTCTGTGGGTAAAGAAGCTGTGTCACAAACGCTCTGGGACAGAGGACATCTACAAGCACAGGTCTTACCTCAGTGTGTCCAGCAACACGTGCCTCAGCCTGGATGAGTAGAAATGCTGATACCAACAACTGCTACTTCTTAAGACTTCAGAATGGAAAAGCAGCCCTGCAAGGAACCGAGTCCCGGGCCGGCGCGGGCACATAGTGGCAGCACGCTGCGGTGCTGGGGGCCTGGGGCATGCAGCTGGGCGCTGCGCCAGCCGCACAGAGCCCCGGCTGCTGCACAGAGCCTGCGCGCCGCTGCACAGAGCCTGCGCGCCGCCCAGACAGGGACGAGATACGTGAACTCAGCTCCGGCGTCTGGAGGCTCCTCTGCAATCACCACATCCACACGCTCCTGGGGAGGAGCACAATCATCAGCTTTGTGACTTGCCTTTCTCAGAGAGCTGCTACCGGCATCAAGGAAACTGTGCCTCCTAAATAGCCATGTTTCTTGAAACAGAAACAGAGCCCCCATTGCTTTGGGGCTGGGACTCACAGCTGTCATGCTAAGGATGCAGCCCTGGTATAAACAAACTGCACTACAGCTATTCCCACATGCCCTGTTGSTCATCCTCCTTCCAGTGAAGACACATTGCAGAGAACTCTCCAACAGGCTGCCTTCTGCAATGCACACRCTGTGCTGCCCAGGAAGAAGAGCTCCCTCTGGTTTACAAACTCTATCGTACTGGGGAAAACTACTTCATGAAAGAATTGCTCACCACGCGGGCAGGGTACCGGCTGCCACGGAGTCAAGGATTAATGCCGTTATGTTCACAAAGGGGAAGAGAATAAAGTGCTGAGGAACATGGAACTGGAAGGGATGCTTCTTATCTGGAAATCAGTGCAGGGACTGGGAGGGAAGGAAAGGAGGGGGACTCAACTGTGCCCCCATCGTCTTGTCTTTCTCCAAGACGARTGACAAGCACACATTTTCTTCTTAGAGAGCTTGAAGAGTCAATTCCTACAGAATGAGTTTAAGGGATAGGCAAAGCATAGTTTAGTTGACAAGTGTGTTGCATACGTTGATTTAAATTAAATTTTACAAGTAGATAGAAAGGAGGAAAGAAAACATGAAAACTCTTCTTTTAGACATTTTTTCCTATTTCTAATTTCAGCTTTCTTTGACAAGAAGCATGGTTGAAGACAGACAGTCTATTCTTACCACTTTATAGAGTAATTTGATACAGGTCCATCCAAACTGTTAAGACTGTCTGGATTTTTATCAGAACAGCTAATTCAGAGATGTTTAGTTAGCAATAAAAGTTATTTTTCCCTTGTTCCTTCTACCATTTCCCCCCTGCCACCCCCCCGCCTCAGTTTTCCTCTGGGGTCCCTCAGAGACCTGCACACAGCCACACGGATCCTGCTTGAGGCCAATTGCCACAAGAACCATCTCTAGGGTTCACCTGTGCAGGTCTTCAGCCCTCCAAGAGCAACAACTCTGTGGCTAATAACCAGCTCCAAGAAGCTCCCCGACACAGCTGGCTCAGGCAATAAAATATCATCTAAAAATTAAAACTAGAATCTCATTTATGGCAGAAAAACAACCTTGCTGTGTCTCCACACCAATCTGTATACATTTTGAAGAGAGAAGTTCACACAGCTGCACAACATTTTTCATGCATGCATCTCAGAGCTGCAGAAACACAACAAAAGAAAACCCAACAACTTGTGCAGATAGCTATAAGCAAGGCTGATAACATGTWCGAAGTGGACTCAGTTTTTAGTAAATGCAGTTGCAGCCATCACATGAAATGAGAAAAAAACTTCTAAGTGACTGGCGAGCATAACAAAATGACCTGCATACACAGGACTCATGTGTGCACACCCAGAACAGAGGAGGGACCAGGAAAACTAAAAGGCAGGGGTGCCTGGCATGGGAGGAACTGCAAGTATCCAAGTAAGGCAGGACAGGACCATGCAGTGCCCTGGACGTGAGCAGCAGAACCAACAGTGCTATACTTTACCGACTGCAGCGAGGCTTCTTAAGTACTCGTGTAATGTGCGAAACTCAAAATGCCCTGAAA